GGGTGAAGAAACTGTGGGCAAGTACTAGGGTTACAGAGTGTTGTCTAGCAACCTCATCAGCTAGAAACAATGCAAGTAGGTCCTCTTAGAGGGAGGAAGCTCCAAGGATTCCTGGCCAGTAGAATTAAATTCAGTTATTAATTCCCCATTTCAAACTACAGCTCTTTTCCCCTGTACTACCACTTTGTTTAGATCTCCCATAGCAACCCTGTCTTCCAGAGCTGCAGAGCAAGCTTCGGAGCCAGCAAAGCATTTGATTTCTCTTCAGAAGTATAGCCCTAAAGGTACACAGAGGTGTGTGCAAAAAGGCAGGCCTACAGTCCTGGGCTGCCTCCCTTGCACAGGGAGCTGCTTGATGAAATCACATGCTCTTAGTTAAAAGAGGGGAGGGACTAGGCTAAGTTACAGTAAACAAAGTAATGCAGCTAATATTTAAGTAATACTTAAAACACCCACACAGGCTCATCACAGGTAGTATTATTTATTTTTCCTCCATTCTACAAGCACTGAAGTACATGAGACAGAATCCCTTAGCAGGAAGAAAGATGAACCACTGAGTGAGTTGTACTGCATTGTCTGCTCTCAGTTAGGAAAAGTGCTTTTTGTTACAGAGACTGCTACAAGTGAGGTGGCTGCTTGGAATACTGGATGGCATCTAGCGCTGCCCCAATGTCGCAGTTCTTTGTCTGCAGGAGTCGAGTAAGCCATCCACCCTCATCAGAGAAGCCCATAGACAGCATCTGGGACAGAGATTCAATGAGGCGAGGGTCTGCTTCTGTTAAGAAAAGAAGCATAAAGCTGAAGTATTTCATGTAATTGGCAAACCAGCCAAGGCTCTAATACAACACAGTAGACAGGCTGACACTAACTCTAGTAAATCTAGCATAGCTGATCAAATTCTAGAAGACATGCTGTCCTTTGTCTCCCAGCAGGACAGATGTTTGAGATAAAAGATACATAACCAGCTAAGAAAACTGCTGAGTCAGACTCAGCTGGCCTTGCTGTAGGAATCTGTGCTGTTGGTCTCAGTTAAGTGTCTTTGGATACTGTTACTGGCTCCCACCAGAAAAATGCTGTCTTAAAGCCACAGGATGTACTAGTCCACATCCTGCATTAAAAGGCTCTCTTGAAGAGTACATAGCAAGGGCATGATTTAGGATACCTTTTTTCATGTTGCTCAGATGGGCATATTAGTCTACGGTCAGAAGACTTAGCTGCCCACATTCAAGCAGAACCTGACTGTTTCTAACAGAGTGCAAGAGCTGTAACACATGCTAACAAAGTTATGGACAAGTTTAGCTGTAACTTATGTGACCTTGGTTTCTACCATCTCTAAAACCAGGTTGGCTTATGTCAGGCAAGTTGGCAGTTCCTGACTGAAAATTACTCTCAGCTATGAAACCTGCACACATTCTCATACCTGGTGGGAGATGTGGGTAGAGTGCAGCTTCTCGCAGTCCTGTAGGTCCTGGCTGGGGAGGATCCTGAGATGCATCCAGGGAGCTGGGACCCTCTGTCTCTGGCATTTGCAGAGACTGCAGTTCACCTGTGGAAGGATCTACTTCTTTGGAAGATAAGTGGGTCCAGTCCTCCTCACCCCCTGATGAACTGCTGGACTCACTGTGTTCCTGAAATGAAAGAAAAAAGGCCCAGGTGCTGCAGTGCTTGCCAGGTAGGATGCATGTTTCTACTATCTGCTTTTAATACAAAGAGTTACATCCACAAGGAGTCCTACCACCTTTACTGTAAACCTGTAAAGCAAGGGTGCTGTGTATGACTTAATCTGCTGACATCTTAATATTCAATCCCACAACGCATACTAAATTATTATCTTCCTTTTTAGCAAAGACTCAGCAAGCATGAAAGTAGTGTCATAGTTCTTGTACCTGGGACTGGAAGCTGCCATCTTCCATTTGTGTGGGCACAGGATCTATCACCATGTCTTGTATCTGCTCCACAACAGCATTTACTTCTGTAGCAGAGTCTGTGTTATTCCAGTCTGGTTTGGTCTGAATGTTCTGGTTAAGGGTACTGCTCCTTGACTCAGCACTGTTATTCTCTGGATTGGGAGAAGCAGGAGTCACTTTGCTTCTCTGTCCTCCGTGTTCCACATCAATATCAACTTCAATACCTGGAAGTGCATTTGAGATGGAGAAAGTCTTACAGAGATTTTTCCAAAGCAGAGTCCTAAATGAACATGGATCGGTCCTGGTCTGAACACTGTAAGGTTTCTGTAATCCTTCAGTTTGCCATCTGACATGTAGGAATTAAAATGCAAAGCATCTTTTAAACAAAGAATAGTTAAGCACCAAATAGTCATCTGCCTCTAGATAGACAAGCCATGTACCTAGAGGGTCAGGGCAGAAGTTATCTGTATCTCCAAAAGCCAGGCAAAATCCTGAGTCACCACTGACTTAGAATTAGTGCTACAGTGGTGACATGTTAATGAAACCTTTCCTCATCTCCTCCCAAAGGAGGGCTCTGGAAAGGTAACGAGTGGCTGTTCTAAGCCTAGGCATTATTAGTACCAGGAGTAAATTAAGCCTTCAAGGCTTAGTAGCATGAGGTCGTTCCGGTATTGGTCACAACAGCTGACTGCTGCTCCTGTTAAAAGGACCTTTAAGCCAGTCTCAGGGATTGGGATAACATACTGTAAGTCACTTACCCAGGGGGCTCAGAAAAGCTGCAACACTCTCCCCAACATTCTTTAAGAAGGTGACATTGGGGTCCTGAGGCTGGCTGTTAGTAGAAGCTTCTAGAAAAACAATTTCTGTTAGCACACATAGAAGCTCAGAGGGAAAAGGCACCTACAGAGTGTATCCCCATGAGATCTTGGTGCTTGTTTTGTGTCACTCTCGTACACTGCACAACAAAGGCAGTATAGAGACAAAAAACCTCTGAGCTACCTCTGGAACAGAAGACCAGTGGCATTAGCATTGTTAAGGCTCATTAGCCATGCTGAAAGGCAGATCTGGAGTAGTGACATGCTTAACCTAACAGCTCAGCTTTGTTTGGTTCCAGATACTCTCTCTGCATCCTCATCTATTACATGGGCCCAAGCATGCCTTAAAATAATCCCACCCTGCACTGAAAGGTGATTATTTCAAGTAAATTAGATTAGTTCCTATGTCTATTTTTCCACCCGGATTCCTGTGCTACAGAACCTCAGCTACCCTGGCTCCACCACCACCTTGTTTACCAGAGCATCTCTTCTTACCATCCGCAGTGGGTGGACTGGAGGCTGCAGCACTGGCTTGGGCTTGTTCAGAGTTTTGGCATGGAGCTGCAGGGCCAGGATATCCCCAGCAGTGCATCCATGGGAAGGGTGGAACACCATGCCGCATTTTACGGAGCCAGCGTCCTCGGGGAAGCCACTGTAAAGGGTAATGTTCATGTGACTCTGTCCACACAGCCAGATTCTAAGTAACTAAAACTCACGACTTAAATTTGAGGAATATCCCATTCATTAGTTCCCCTCCATAGATTTTGCTCACCTCAAATGGATTTAGCAGTGGACTTTGAAACATCACCATGTTGTGCTCCTTGTGGATGCCTTTACCCTCACAGGTGCTGCACAGGTCATAGTCTGGACAGACAGTGCACTTGAACCTGGCACCCACCACCGGTCCTTCACAGCCATCACAGATCACGTTGGGGTGCACCATGTCGCGGGGAGGCTCCTGGTTGCATTGCGAGCGATGTTCCCGCTTGCACTCCTTTTTCTCTATTAAGGAAAGGGAACTTTGCATGAAGAACGAGGTTACTATTTAAAGGCTGGAAATCGGGCAGAGGAGAAGGAAGCACAAACAGCCCTTGTCAGAGCAGTATTGACTTACTGGGTCAGTTTATTTTTACGCTGGCTGCCAAACACAAGCTGGGGGCATGTAGGAGAAATTAAACCAACTGCAAAGGGGTTTTGCAAAGATACCTGCTCCTCAAACTGAGCATGCCTTATCCTTAACAGTCTCTTGGTGTGTTTATTTTAGATTAGTACTGCACTACTCCATTTGGCTTCTTGTCCTATCTTCCTAAACACTGCAAGAACAAAATGTTTCTGGAGAGGGAGTTAGGAAGAAGTGCCAGGAGGCACAACAGAGGAGAACAGGGACAACAGCCACTGGCTTGTGTGACTCATTAGATGGACTGCAGATAAAGCTCCGCAGGTATCTACGTGAACAGAAGGGACCAGGGAGCAACTATGAGCTGAATAAGCTGGAATTAAGGCTTCCTAACACATTATTGTGACTATTAAAGGTACCAGTGCCAGGCTAGCACTTCCAGGGAGCCAGCATGACAACAGCGGCTCACGTTGGGCCAGCAGAGATGACAGGGCTAGGAAGAAACTTGTGATCCATCTACCCCACCTCAGCAGGGAGATTTCCCGTTCTGGTGTATTACCCTGCCCTTTATTCAACCTCCTCTTGAAGGCTGCAGGTTACACTAGGCCCTTGAGGACAAGGGGAAGGGCCAGGTCTTGCTTCTCCCATCTTGGGAACCTTGCCAGCAAGCACACGGGGCGAAGCTGGAGACCTGCTACCGCCCTTCGGAGCTGCGCGGCCCTACCTTTGATGTAAACACGAAAGACGCCGTCCTGCACGTAACGCATCGCCATCTCCAGCTCCTCGTCGGTGGAAAAAGCAATCAGGTCCCCGTCTTCGTCTAGAAAGGGTAAAGTGCAGGATTAGGTGCCCAGTCAGATGTCACGGGAGGCGGCCTGTGGCGGGCAACAGGGACAGCCCAGCCCTGGGCACCCCCGTGCCCTGAAGCGTTCCCGTCCCCG